TTCCATCTTTTAGTTGTATTTTTGAAGTGGTTGTTCGAGGCAGCAAACTCCGGTGTTAACCTATGCCGCCATCTTGGTTCCCCATATCAGTATAAATACCTTTTCATAAATTCGTCCTGTCCAATAGAACTTTCTGCAATGAAGGAAATTGTCTTTTATGCTGTCCCAGATGATAGCCACTACTTTCATGTGTCAGTGTAATATTTGAAAGGTGGCTGGTTGACTGAGGAACTGAATGTTTAACTTTATTTAATTCTAATCAACTTCAGCACGTTTGGCTAGTGGCTACTGTAGACTTTCAGGTCCTTCCTTCATAACCAGGGAAGGCCTATATCCTTGACTCCATCTATGTACCACATTTGTACCTATCATTTTGTCTTGAATCATGGTGGTCCTCTCTCACCCCATTACTTTCTTTTAATTTCTTCAGTAAAAGGTTCTCTTTGGCTTTCAAGGGTCAGAGCAAAGTTCACAGTCTCCATGAAATCTTCTAATATTGCTGGTTTCCCTTTCCTGGCAATGCCCATTCTGTGCTTTTCCAGTCAGGACACCTGCATGAATAAATGAATGATTCAACATAGTCATTTGCTGTACTTTTGTTTCTTTTGTTGTATTATTGTTTCTTTTGTTGCTTTTCATGTGAATTTACCCACCAATTTTTATCTCTCCGAGGACAGGACAGTGCCGTATAGTTTTTCTATATTTCTCCTGGCACCAAGAAGATGATAAAGCCTCAAAAAATTCCCATGAAATGCTTTGCTGATTGATTGATTGATTGATTGATTATAAAAGAAGCTTAAATCTGAATCTTTGATTCTCTGTCATGAACACGTGTCTTCTCAAATAGCCTCCCGGAACAAATTAAGTTAAAAAATCGAGGTTCCACTGTATAACGCTTACTGTTCTTATACTTCATTCGCATATTTAGTCCTTCTAATCACTATAAGCAGGCATTTTACAGATGGAGAAACTATGGCCCTTGCTTCAGTTCACACAGATAGCAGGCAAGAGAGCTAGAACTTGACCCTACACAGTCTTGCTCTAGAAACTATGCTCCAAACCACTCTACTATAATGCTTGGACTATGATGTGTATAATTACTCAGATTCTCTGACTTGGAATAAGCATTAGAGGTAATAGAAAGTGGAAGAGATGTTTTATATGTTTGAGGAAACAGTTTCCAGAACCTGCGAACACTTTAAGAACACCTGCAGACGTGTGAATAATACACAAAGTACAAATGCTTTTTGTTGAGGGTAGTTCCCGTTGTGCAGGCGATGTGTGGGTTCTGCGCACAAATGGTAGCCCTTTTCACTACAGCTGAAAATGTAATACCCAAAATATATAATTGTCCTTTCTAAAGTGAGGACAAAACAGTTTGGATACATTTATCACTTTTTAAAATTTGTAATACTGACTCACTTCTTGGTTTTAATTTCTTTAACTTGGATATTTTGTAGAAATTTCGGAGTGCTTCAGTCGGGGCTGAGGAATACATGTATGATCAGACATCAAGGTAGGTTACCAGGAGATGCCCCTGGAAACTGATGAACAGATGAGCCTTTAAATGTACCCCCAAGCCCTAGCTGGTTTGGCTCAGTGGCTAGAGCGTCGGCCTGAGGGCTGAAGGGCCCCAGGTTCAATTCCAGTCAAGGGCATATACTAGTACATGCCCGGGTTGCGGCCTCGATCCCCAGTAGGGGGCGTGCGAGAGGCAGCCAATCAATGATTCTTTCTCATCATTGATGTTTTGATGTTTCTATCTCTCTCTATCTCCCCCTGCCTCTCTGAAATCAATAAAAATATATTTTAAAAAAAGAAAGTAAATGTACCCCCAAGTTATACTTTCTAACCTTTAATATATATATATATTGATTTGAGAGAGGAAGGGAGAGGGCTAGAGAGATCCCTGAAATTATATTCAGAACCATTTATGTTCATATGTGCTTTTTTCTGGGAAGAGGGTTCACAGCTTTCTTCTCATTTTCAAACAGCCTGTGCCCTAGACAAGTCGCAAGCTACTGGTGTAGGCAGTCCTGAATATCCTGTCCAGGCCACGAATTTTATGATTCAGTGGCTATATTGGAATTGCTTTCTCTATACAAAATGACAGTGGAATTGATTCTGTCTTGAATGATTTATTTCCCACCTTGGTCTAAGACATATTCTGGAATTTTTTTAGTTTATCAGCTTAAGCCTATGATTTTTATCATGTAAGAGGAATATTATTCTGTCCTTCAAATTGTTTCTCATTATAAAAATTAAAAAAAAATCAGACATTGCAAAAATGTTCAACATAGGAAGGAAGAGTTGCCAGTAATCTTGTAAGTCATTTTAAGGGCTAAAAAATAGACTCAATGAAGAGATTCTGATGATTCAGAAAATACACAGTTTTTGTTATTGTGTCATCTGTGGTGTAGCAGCAATAAATATTTCTGAATGAGCATGTTTAAAGAGATTATGATTCATACCTGCTGCTCATTTTAAACAATTGATTTTTTCTTCCAAGTTGGGAAAATGAGTGTTTTTGTTTTTTAAGTTAAACCATAGTTTTAAAATATTAGGGAAATCATTTAGAGCAATAATTTGCAACCATTTTCTGTAATGGCTATCTGGTAAATATTTTAGATTTGGTGGCTTGCAGTTACAGCCACTCAATTCTGCTATGCAGTGTGAAAGCAAACATGGAGAAGCACCATCCACATTCACTAAACCAAGGAATGTAGCTGTGTTCCAATAAAACTTTATTTACAAAAACAGTCAATGGGCTGGATTTGGCCCATGGACCGTTGTTCGCATATACCTGTCATGAGTGCTTTTGCAGGCTTAGGAAACAAAACACACACACACAAAAAAAATACTCCCTGTTATGGAACTAGATGTTTAGTAATGAATGTTTAGTAGTTTTGAGTTTTGGGTTTTCACATTTTGAAGTTTTTAAAAGTAGAATATATTTGCAATATCTTGCTGAGACAAACAGAAGGCGATTTACATGTATGTGAATTGAACAAAAGCATTCACACATTTGGTTTGTGACTAGGATAAAAGTGGCAAGCTCTCTAAGTTCTTCAACTTCAGGCATTGTCTATTGCCAGCTAAGACCCTAGCACTGCCTCGCACCATTGGCCAGGCACATCATGGACTTCCTCCCCTTCCAAACCATCTGGTTTATGGGCCACTATTAAGAATGCTGTCTGTATACATTGTGTTAGCAGTGACCTTTGGTCTGGCCTCATCTCTTTTGCCATCTGCTGTGTTTTGTCTCTGAAACAGAGTAAATATTGGTTAATATTCATATCAAGTGATAATCCATGTGAAATTGATCAGTAGTGTTCAAGTGAGTGACTCTGACCACTGCTTGTTTTCTGTTCCACAGCGGCACGTTTCAGTACACCCTGGAAGCCACCAAGTCTCTCCGTCAGAAGCAGGGGGAGGGCCCCATGACCTACCTCAACAAGGGACAGTTCTACGCCATAACGCTCAGCGAGACTGGCGACAACAAATGCTTCCGACACCCCATCAGCAAAGTCAGGGTACGGGCCGCGTTTCTCCAGTAAATCGGAGGGATCCGAGGAATGCAGTTGCTACCTCAGAGCCTTGTGGGAAGGGTGTGGAAAAAAATTCTAAAATAAATAACTCCAGAACAAATGTCAGAGAGTTGGGGCAAGAGAACTGATTGGCTCGCAGTTTATCATTTTAATCAGTAACCAATAAGCCCCGGGCAAGGGACGCGGTTGGAACATGCTTTCTGAACGTATCCAAGGAATTTTCCCAGCTTCATTCATGGCCTGGGTGCTACCTCGCTGCTGCTGCTGTTGTTTGCAATCAGTCGGTTTTAATTTTTCCAGTGAGCAGCTGTAAGTCAGAACATTTTTCTACATATTTGCTGCTGCTTTCTTTTCTGTAAAGGAGGATGCAGTTCATCTGTGCCCCCGGACCTTTTGCAACTTTGGTTAAAAGCCCTCGCAGCCCAATGCTTCCTCGGGAGCCAAGGGGCGAGGCATGCTCTGACCCCTCCCAGGAGTGACGTGGAGGAATGTTCACGTTCATGAGTGTTAGTCCTATTTGTGGGAAATGAAAGTGCCCTGGAAGCCTGCCAGCTTCTGGCACTCTCGCTCCTGCCAAGAAAGGGAGGGAACTGGTAATCCCTCTCTACTGAAAAGGAAAAGGATAGCAGAGCTCTGAAAAGAGGTTGAAGGACTCTCCTGCCCTGTTGTAAAATGATTTGTGCAACCCGTGTGTAAAATGCTACGGAGGAGAAATTATGAAGGAATATAAATCAATGAAATATTCTTGTGGAGTGCTGGGGAAATGTCCACTAAGAAGTATTTTGGATATGGAGTGAGAAGGGAGAGTCATATCCCTGAGACTGTAATTAGGGGTTCTTTGGTCTTGTTTATGTGTTTGTTTTTGGTACCTTCTTCATTGTCTAAATGACAGTGAATTATCACAGACAGTATTTAGCTTAATGAGGTTGTTTATAATTGAGAACTGAAAGGAGTTTTTGGGTTATTAGTTTCTCAAGCTCATTTTTAAAGCACATCACACATTGTATTGAAATAAAAAACATAGTTGACCTTGTATCTTTTGGTCTATGAAATATCTGTGACGTATATCTGTCTTCATCAATATGAACTCATCTTTTACTATTCTTCTCATTACTTTAGCATTTCTCTCATTAATCCAGTATTCCAGCCTCAGGCACTTAATTAGGCCAGAAACGGATACTTCCTCCTTTATAAATGGTGCCAGATTCTATATTTAAGATAAGAAATTTCAAAAATATGCTTGTTTTTAGTACAAGAAAAATATTTTTTTTGGTATTCCTACTTACCTCACAAAATATTAAATTTTCTGGTAATTGGTTTATCTGGTTGTTTACGACTCAGGGTAAAAATGATGTAGGATTTTTTTTTCTATGTGCTGTTCTCATTTCCAATCATTTTTTTAAACATATTTTTTTATTGATTTCAGAGAGGAAGGGAGAGGGAGAGAGAGATAGAAACATCAATGATGACAGAGAATCATTGATTGGCTGCCTCCTACATGTCCCATACTGGGGATCGAGCCTGCAACCCGGGCATGAGCCCTGAGGGGAATCAAACCATGACCTCCTGGTTCATAGGTTAATGCTCAACCACTGAGCCACGCTGGCCGAGCTCCAATCATTTTTTTTAAGTTGGCTCATTTTAAAACAAAACCATGTAACTGAGCATGTCTGGGCCTTTTTAAAGCAAGAAAAGCAGCATTACAGAAATGCACCTCTGGTAGGACTTTCCGAATGGAGACCGTGCGAGCAGCCGAGGCCCAGAACAAAAAGTAAGTTCCATTATTCTCGCCTCCGCAGAGCGTGGTGATGGTGGTCTTCAGTGAAGACAAGAACCGCGACGAGCAGCTGAAGTACTGGAAGTACTGGCACTCCCGGCAGCACACGGCGAAGCAGAGGGTCCTCGACATCGGTGAGTTGGCCTCGGCCTCCCTTGCGGTCTGTGGCGAACTGACAAGTTGTCGTGATGCACAGGAGGTCCCCAGCACAGAAGTCACAGCCAGGACCCACATAGCTCTCATGACGTGCCACTTTTCCTTTGTGGGTCCATTTAGTGCAAATCACGCTGAGAAATCGAAATCGGGCTGAGTGCAAACCACTTTCATTGTATGAAAGTCAACTGTGTCCCATCAATAATAGTAATATATTTGTCCCATCAATAATAGTAATATATTTAGATGTGCAAGAACCGTGTCCATTTCTAAGCAGGGGATGTGAACTCTGATCCCTCTGTGAGGTTAATGACCAGGCTCGGTTGGCTCTAAGGTACATGCCTGGATAGTGAGTTCCAGTTCTCTAATCCTCCATCCAGTGTTGCTTCGCTCTAACACACGTCTCGTGCTAATAGTACTGCGTGGTCAGGCAGTGAAACCTCTGAGAGACCTTCCCTGCCATTAAGAAGTACTGAATCTGCCCAGTACATTTTCTGGAGTCCGTATGGTCCTAAGCACAATGTCTGTTCCCTGGAGACCTGTGGTCCCTCGACGAGTCTCAGGGTCCAGGAGGGGAGCAGAGCCCATGCCAAGTGGAGCCGTGGAGGGAATTCGTTGCAAAGGTTGGAAGGGCTGGAGGCACCATGAGGCAATCCAGAGATGAGCAGCTGCTGGAATCTGCTGCTCTTACCTGCAGGGCTGGAGGATCAAAAGGAGGAGGTGGTGGGTGTTGGAGGTGCCACCCAGAAAGAGCTGGAACTATGGTGAGGGTTCCTCAGCAGGAGCCGTGGCCACAGAGGGACCTGCTTTCCAAAAGGAGATAGAACCCCAGGGGAGTTTCTGCAGACTCCTCTCAGTGCCAAGAGCAGGGAGGCGAAGGAGTGCCCGGCGCTCCCTGCCTCCTGATCTCCCACAAGTGCTTCCCAACAAAGGCAGTTTCAGGAATCAGCCTCTGAGACCCAGAGCAAAGCAGGGAAGTCAGGATTGGATCTTACCGTTTCTAGAAATTACTTAAAAACACAGGCAGTAATATATGTGTCTCTAAGTAATTTTTAGCATGTTCCATGCTGTTTCCACAAGCAATAAGTAATTTCTCATGTGTAGGCTTTATTACTCCGTTCTGCAGACCAAGAGGCTGCAGTCCCAGTGAGTGCAGAGAAAGTGGAGGTTCCCATCGTGTCGAGTACCAGAAAGTATTCCTGAGCAATTACATTAGAAGGATGTTTGCACACATTCTACCTTCCCCTTGCTAGAACGCTTTGATCAATGGCAGAGAGGTTAGTGACTAGGTTAGGGTGAGAGACTCATTGTAGAGCATATTAAAACTAATTACTGGTTTATCCTGCAAAACGTCTACACCACTCTAACACACACACACACACACACACACACACACACACACACGCATAAAGTGCGCACACCCACAAACAGCTTCTATTAACGAGTCCCACATCTTAATCTAATAAACAAGGAAACTGAGCCTGTTGACCTACCACCCTAGGTGACTTGTCCCCATTAATTAGTGTGAGAGCTGAGATAAGAACAGTCTTGTTCCCCCAGGTCATACACCAAACCTCCAAGACGGACTGACTAGGACAAGGATTTGGAGATACTTGCCTTAACCTGCTTGGTAGCCAATCTGCATGGTGCAGAGGAACAATTTTATTTTATTTGAAAAGTTAGCCTTATAATTATTACCCAAGAAAATGAGAGGAGCAATTAAATAGAAATGTGGACTAAGTCCAAATAAGGCAAATGATAAAAGCATGTGACTGGCATACCTGTTTTTTCAACTTTGATATTATTACAAGGTTTACTTATCTTAGACCAGAATGATTCCTCAGCTCCCATAGGACTTCAGATCTTAGCTCTCTTCTTTATCGCCTCCTGCCTGCCTTCAGACTTTTCTCTCATATAATCCTACACACACACACACACACACACACGCGCGCGCGCGCGCGCGCACCCACTGGGTGAATGACGACAAGTGGAGTGACCTCGTTTAGCACAGTGTGAGCCACTGGGAGTAATATCTGAAACGAGGCAAGTCACAGAATGAACTGGACTACGGATCAAGGCTACTCGAACAGTGGATCATTCCCAAACCACTTTCAGGGGCAGGCGCATTTTTCTATTTGTCCCCTTTCAAGCAGAGAAGGAAAATTAGACGTTCAATAATTAATATTAACTTCATAGAAGGAAAGCCAGAAGCCACAACAGATAAACGGAGGCACATTCACCTGGACTTTCCTTCTGGTGAACGCAATTAAGAGTTACTTTACTGCTTTACCACGTAGATGTTCTGAAAGAATGAAGGTGGCTGCTTTTGCATCTTCAGAATGGGTGGTCTGGATTGTAAGGTACGCAGACGGATTCCACAAGCATATACAAATAAGCATTATTACTTGAGGGTCACATGCAGTGTAGCCATTAATGATATACTTTTGTAGTTAAATTGTGAAATCAACCCTGTGCCTCTTCAGTCAAACTCTCTCTTTCATTTGGGTTCGCAGTAACCTCTCCCTGTAGGTGATGATAATACATCAGAATGTACGAGTTAACATTGTTAATATTAATCCTATAATTTTTCCACGGTAATTAGCAGGCAATTATAGCACATCTTTGGCTATTAACATGTGATTATGGGATTTTCATCTGTGCCCTCTTACAGATCTATTTCTTAAGAGCCAGTTTTTAAATTGTGCCCTGTTGATAGAAGTTTTACTATATTAAGGTAAAGCTTTCCATGAAAACATCAGTTTCAACTAAATCGACACATTTCTTCAAGTCTCGTTCTAAATAGTTTTCTCTGAGTTCAAAGAGGAGCCTGTGAGAGGACAGGCACGCTGACCACTGGGGATCACTCAGCCGGCGGATCTGTCCAGGGGGAGGAGCTCTCTCGTCTGGAGTCAGACTCCACTTTCACATACAAGTTGTGATTACAATTAAGTAACATTCCCCCCCCCTCCTCCCCCCCGGCTCTGGCTGTGTCCTACCAGTGAGCTTTCTTGCAGTTTTCATAGCCAAACCTGGGCTGGGCTGGTCAGAGCTGTGCAGAAAGTG